AATATTTTTACTTCTTACTGTCATTATTTTTTGTGACCGATGGAATCATGCAGTACCTAGTTAACAATAGTTGTTATATGAATTTTGCGAGTTGCAAACAGTTTTTGCCGACCAATACGACTTCCTTTATCCCTATCCATTTGCCGTGGCTAATGAGATACAAAGGTGTTAGGATTTATTTCCACTCTTTAAGTTTTTGCATTATGCTTTATAATATCTAATTTGTGCGTCATCCTTTATCGATCTGTGTTTTTTTCTGTTGTTCTTGTTACAATGTTGATATAATACATAATTTAATAATTCTACATCACGAAATAATATATTATTTTTGCGTCACTATCAAGTGCTGATTGATATAAATGTGATTTTTTTTTATAATGACCCAACTGTATGTATCTAAGCTGTGTATTTTGTCGTTCGTAAGTCGTGCGTGTCAATCTGTATAACATACGCTTAAAAACATATTTAATGTGGCTGCATGGACTAGATGCCTTTGTTAAAAACTTACAAAAATAAACATTTATCATGAAATGACACGAATGTCAACTTAAACTGGATTGCGTACTGATATATTTCTTAAAATCAAACTTACACTTTATCTAATATGAAATAAGGTTTATTTTTCTATGTCACATTTCACAGTAGAAAAACGATCTACTAGAGATATTAGATTTGTAGTAGTAGGTCCTTGTCTAACGAGTTGCCATTGGAAAATTAAATAATTGTTATTGGCAATTAGGAGATTTTATTGATTTTTTAAAGACATCACTAGGTAATTTTAATTATTATCTATTAGTAAATATATTGAATAGACATAGTTGATATGTTTTTTAAGTAAAAGTGTGAATTAATTAAAATTATAATGTAAACCGATGTCGTGTTAGTAGTTTTTCGTTACATCTAAGTAGCAATATTATAAATTAATATGGCCGCTCGATGTGACAACATAAACAATGTTAAAGTTTAATGTTTATTTGTGTTTTGACTTACTAATTCGATTATTTACATCAAAATGGTATATTGTTTTGCTTGGCTGATTGCAAAAATGAATGGTATCACGAATGTGACTTCACATTCCACAGGTAAGCTGTTTTCCTTATTTATTAAACAGTGATGAAATAGGGTGTCTACGATCAAGAAACAAAACCATATCAAAGAGGCTTTGATTTAAATTAATATTCATACGTTTATATTATAAACATTTATAAGTTTTACTTACGCTACCCGCCATTCTTCGTTATCAATATTTTCACGGTAGGTACAAAGTTATTTGGAAAATGAAAAACGAGAACTAGCTTAATTATGTTTTGGAAAATATCTGAATGGCCTACACATTAGTTTGGATAAATATTTATAAAGTAATAATTTTCTTATGCTGACCATGACAAAATTGCTCTTATGTTTCTAGGATCCTAAAGGATAAAAGTCTAGCTGAAAAATGGAGGACAATAATACCAGGCAAAGTGATCCGTTGTATTCTAATACAATTAATAGGAAAAAAAAAACATTTCTATCCTTTTAATTGATTTATACATTATAGATGATTATAATAACATTTATGTACTTGTTTTATTTCCTACAAAATAAATATCTTTACCGATAAATAAAAACTAATTTATCGGTTAAATTTCTAACATCATCATTCATAATATCTGTAAAAATTTATAAAATTATATCTGTAAATGTTTAAATTTGGTCATGTAAACATTATTAAATATAACCTATTTATGAAATTATTAAAAACGCGTGGACATCCTACAAAACTACTAAGACAGAGATGAAGAGTTACTAATTTACTCTCTCAGGGCGCTTGTGCACTACACTGAATTTTCAGGTCCGGCGGTCCGATTTTTTCCGGTCCGGAATGACATGAAAAACCCGGATGAGTAGCTTGTGCACTTGTCCGTTTTTTTCCTGATCGGAGCGGCGCAGTGTAGGACAGCTCTCTTTGAAGCTACACGTCACTAACGCTAGGTACGATGAGATTTTTGGAACATCGGTAATTCCGTTCGAAGACGTAGAAAGGTATCTAAATAATGATCTGATCGTTTTACATAAACCATAATAAATTATGGCAAGACGAAAGCATTTTTTTTACTACTATCGGATGACTACTATCAGATGTAAAAACTTATACCCTTACTCATTTAGGAACAGCATTATTCACATACAATAGCTAAAAATATCTGTGACATTAGAATAAAATTACTGATAATGGTCTAGTACTTGATGTTTAAATTTTTAAACGTGCTATTTTTTTCGAAGTTTTGTAAAAATAACTTTCAGCGATTACAGAGATAGACCAATCGGTAGCGCTATTTCGTATATAAATCGAAATTAGTGCCATGTAAGCGGAGAATTAATATGCTAAATGAACTTTACGAGATCAGTTGACTGTATTATATATAGGCATAATTTTATACGCGTGGTGTAGTTTCTTTGAGCAGAAATATTATTTCTTTAGAATACTTCTTTTTTTTAAATTTATTAATGACACAAATATACATTTAAAATTTTATTAAATGCGAAGAAGACTGAGTGTCACTTAATTACTTTTGTTAATCTTCTGTTTATTCTTTATTATTACTTCTGTTGTCAAATATTTATCTATACTTATCAATTGTCTAAAAAAAATTTGATAATGACAAATTTCCAGGCAAACTTTCATCCCCTATTTTTCGCGATAAAATGTAGCCTATATCCTTTCTTAAAGTTAAGTCTATTTACTATATTAATTTTCTATTTAATATATTAATTTCCATTTAGATGGGTTCAGTTGTTTAGGCGTCTAAGCGTAACAACACTTATTTATCTTACCTTAAGCTATCGATACTTTTAATACAATTCTAAAATCTAGCTAAGTATCGATACTAGAACCATACGCTGATCAAATTAGAACTATACCGAGTTTGCCAAAGCATATGCAGTGATATTTACCAACTATATTAAATCATCATATAAAATATAGCATTTTATAATCAACAATAAATATCGATTATAAGTTTATTGGAAATTAATAATATTGCCGAAATAAATATAGATTCAAATCGATTATTTTTTCCCAAGCCTATTCCTTATGAATTTTCCGGATCTCGGACACAGCAGTGCACAAGCGTAAACATGTTTTTCATTGCCGCCATCACGGACCTGAAAAAACCGGTCCGGAATAGAGAAAAGTAAAATTCCGGACGGTAAAATTCCTGACAGTGCACAAGCGCGCATTACCTACATATGGCCTGACATATCGGACCTGAAAAAATCGGACCGCCGGACATGAAAATTCAGTGTAGTGCACAAGCGCCCTCACTCTGCCCGTTTTTAATGAAACACTGCACAATCCAGTTTAAATTGACATTCGTGTGAAATGACAGTAGGATCATGGGGATGTCCATGGTTAGTCGATATTATAAAACATCGACAATGGCATCGGTTGATACTTGGATTTTGTTAAGCACAAAACATAGATTATGACTAAAATCTATCATTATGAAGACTTTCTTTAAAATAAAACAATCTTTAAACAATTTTTATTTTTACAAAACATAGTTTTTTATAAATATACTTATTACCAATAATTATCTTTCAACAATCAAATCAAAATCAACATCTTAGTCTAAATATACACGGAACCTGTAAGGATTTGATTCGATCAAAATGAAATCAAATATAAACGCATTATATCCGTTCAAAAGTACTTTTATTTAATTTTTAAACGTTACAATATGCGTGAATTGACTATTAAAATGTAAAAGTACATATTAAACTAACTGATAAGGTTTCACATATCTCACACCTAGTTCTAAACTGAGATAACTCTAAAATCATAAATGTTGAGTTGGTACAAAAATCGAATATTCGGTTACCATACGCTGTACTTTGGTTTAATTTCTTGAGTGTGCCTCACATATTCTTTATGTTTATGAAAATTAGCTAGGCCCCAGTAAGTGTTAAATATGGTTTGTCTTGTTCCTTCGTATATCTTCATAATACAACGTTCTCAACACAAGCCGTGCGAATATTCCTGTCATAAACGATTTCCTTTGATTTGACAAAGAATTTGCATTTATTAGGATTACATTGCGAGTCTAAACCTGTTTTTTCCTCTTTTTGCTACTTCATTTGGCATTTATCATGAAATGACAGCAGGATCATGGGTATGCCATGATTAGTCGATATTGAAAAACATCAACAATGAATAAAAAATAGATTAAGAAATTAAGTGTATACTTGATTTAAGTACCTAATATAGTTATTACTTCACTTCTCTAAGAAAAACACTTTCGGTATTACAGCCAATGCATTTAGTGGGAAACACTGTAATCAATCCAAAATTGATGTAGAAATTGAAAAACAGTTTTGTCAACTTATAGCAATCTATCTCCAGTAGCATTACTTGAGAGCGCAGATACCACGGGAATTTATTTGTGAAGTGATGAGTTTTGTTTGAAAAATTGTTATTTTTATCTTCAAACATAGGTTCAACTCAATATGATAAAAAAAACTGTTTCAAGTTTTAATGTGGTTTGCTTTTTGTACTTACTTCTTACCCTAAACTGTAACAACTAACAAAATATCAAAAATCGCTTTAAAATACTGATTCTTAGAGCCAGTTTATGTTTAGTGACAACTGGTGACAACTTACCTTTTTTTTGTGATCTTAAATAGAATTCAGTTTTATAACTTCCCTAACAAAAAATATTCTTTCTTCTCCTGAAAAATAAAATTTTCTGAGTTCTCTTAGTTTAGATGTGCGATATGTTAAGAGGTAAATTATTGCAAGTCGAGTCAGCGTGTCTAGTAAAGGCTATAAAAAAAAAAATTTAGTTGCGTATAGAATTAAATAAAATACACGGTGGATATGTTCGTCGTACATGAATAAGGGTCTGTGATGATGTGACGATTTTTTAAATGATGTATCAATTATTATGAGTCATTAATATCGATTTATATTGAATTTCAATTATCAACTAGCATCCCTACATGACAGTGCGTTTTCGAATATTAAAAAGTTGGCTAAGAAAGCTAGATACGTATTATTTATTAGTCTGTGATTATTTTGTGCTTGGAGTTTATTTTTCTGGAATTTTTGCAATTTTAAAACACGAAAATGGAGTTATCGGCAGAAGGCAAAACTCCTGAGTATATGGAGTTGGCAGGTATTAAATTCAAACTTAGCTTGCCACAATTCAAAGATAACCCTCAGTTAAAAGAACAGCTCTTACAAGGAATAAAGACAGGGTATATGGCTCCATATTACAAAGAAGTTTGTACTGACTTGGGATGGGCTTTTGATCAGAAATTGTACGACTCCATGACAAAGGAAAATACAGATAGGCTTTCTAAATTTCAAGAAGATGATTCAGAGACTCCAGTCTGGCAAGATAAGTAAGTAACATAATTAGTAAAATACCTTTAAAACTACTGTGTAAAAAATAAGATTTTCATTAAATTAGAGAATTTTTAATATTACAATATGTATATAATAATTTTATTCTAATATAATTTTGTTTCAGGCTAGATTACTTGTGCTCTATTGGAGATAAAGAAGCTGCTATTGCTCTTGCAACTACTAAATATGAGGACACTACCCTCACCACTAATAGAAGGCTGGATGCTATATTTGCTATGTTTCGTATAGCATACTTTCATGGATGCAATGTCAAGGAAATGGGCAAAGCAATTAATAAGGTAAAACCTTGTTTCCATTATTCTCTGCCTAATTTTGAAACTTTGCTCTTATTATTGCTTTGTTTCCTTATCTGTATATTTTATTACTTCCAGGTTGAATTTTTATTTTGTTACTTTTTTAAGAAGATACATCTCAAATCTCAACCACACTAGTTTGATCCTTTCATACCTTATTGTCTTATTTTCAAATTTACCTGTACATGTACCATAGCATGCTAAGTTGCTACAAAAGGTCTCTAGTTAATTTTTAACATTTATCTGGTAATAGGTAAATACTATAACATTCTAGATTGCAGATATTTGGTGTTTTGTATTAATTTGATGTGATTCTGTGCATACATTCAACCTACGTGGTTGAGGAAGATTGAAGATTGAATTGAAGGACACACTTTCATATTCAATTTAACTTTAAGATTAGTTTGTGATGATACTTGAATCTATCTGGAAAATTGTAAAACTATTCTATTTTTATGTTGAATATAAAAAAACAACAGATTTGTAGTCTAATGTATAAAAAGCTAAAATTTTTTTTTGTATATTGTTTCAGGCACATGAGTTAGTAGACAAAGGTGGTGACTGGCGCTCTAGAAACAAATTGAAGGCATATGAAGCTATCTACTGCCTTGCAGTCAGAGACTATAGTCGTGCTGCCGATCTTTTTATTGATTGTGTGTCCACTTTTGAGTCTTATGAACTAGTTGATTTTGGTAAGGATACTTACTCTTTAAAGACTGTCTGCTGGATAAAATTCTAAAAATATTTAGTGACAGCAGCTATGTTTATGCCATCTTTTGATATCAATGATCCCATTTTTTAGAGAACTGACATTAATTATTTGATTAGTTATATCTAACTTGGAGGACACCCTAGTTAAAAACATATGATTTATAGGCCATTGTCCTACAAGTGAATATGAATTGTTTTTACATATAAATATTTGACATAATAAATTTTTAAGTGTAAAGATGTGTTATTCTTAGACTAACTCAATATTTTTGAGATGTGGGGTTTTATACTATCTTTATTATAATAACTTTTTTTTTTAGGAACAATTATTCAATATTGCGTTTTGGCATGTGCATTAGCACTTGAGAGACATGCTCTCCAAGCTGCATTAAGGAGGCAGGGTGCAGCAGTGCAAGCATTGCGGTCTCGTTTCCCTGAACTTAGGGAGCTGGTAGAGTCTCTACATGAGTGCAGATATGCTGATTTTATGAAAAGTCTTGCTTGGGTATGTTAAGTTTTAAATGTAATGGGTATGTTAGGTTAGGGGCTTCGATTTTCCTTCAATGGCTTAGATTGGTCCATTTTGAGTGAAAACTTGGCTGTCTTACACTAACCAAGTCCAATGGGTATAAAGCAATACTTTACATAAAATATTAGTGTATTATACAAATTGATGAGCTTTGCTATCTAAAGCTTTGCTCAACCAATGATGATATGAATGATCAAGAATCATAAAAACTTATTAACTTAAAGTAGTGTTTGCATCTTACACTGGCCTTAGACAATTACAATTAACGGCAAATGAACAATATCATTCAAAAAGTGTCTCGATCGCAATAGCTTACACATGTCAAATAGTTGTAGTGTAAAGTTCATGCATAACTTGGACTGCAATAAATTGTAAAATTAGAGAATTAGGCCTCTAGGTTTAAATTGTGGATTTTAGTAACACATTCTTAAACATTGCCTTTATGTTTTTAAATATAGGTAGAAACACAAATCTGCGTTGACCCAGTATTCCGGCCACATTATCAGCATTACGTGCGCGAGGCGCGCATCAAGGCTTACGTACAGTTATTGCGCGCTTACCGCTCTCTCAGTCTGGACAACATTGCGGACACATTCGGTGTCACCCGTGAATTCGTTGAAGAAGAGATCTCTAAGTAAGTCAGCTACATATTACAGTTCAGTTTCTAAATCCGTGTCACGGTACCTGAATCTCGACTCCCTTGGCGTGACGTCTAATTGGCCAAAACATACATGATCAGTGATAAACTGTTGTTTATTTCTTAGCAGGTCTCTAGATGGTGCTGGGGGGGGAGGTGGCAAGTGGGGCACTTGCCCCGGGCGCCAGTGCCAGGGGGCATCAAAATCAGCATTGTATAATACCTACTTAAAGTCAAAAGAAAGAACCATCTTCACAATTATTTTCATATGAATTATAGGCTATGATGAGACGGACATATTTCGAAATCCGTTATTGAAATAATGCCTAGTTCCGTGTATTGTACTAGTATTACACTTTATGAACCTTTCAATTTTGTTCAAATAGAGTACCTTTAGCTTGGATTCTTATCTTTCAGTTTCACCGCTGCTGGTAGGCTACAATGCCGTATCGACGCAGTAGCGGGTTGCGTTGTAACCGGTGCAGGACGCGGCGCCGACGCAGATCGCTCTCAATTGTACCAGGCGACCATACGCGAAGGCGATCTCCTACTCAACAGGGTCAAGAAACTCGCGAGCGTCATCAACTTCTAAGCCCTATGCGCTCCTGGTACCTCTTACTAGTTTCTTAGTATTTTCTTTATATCAACTAAGTATGAATTTGGTAGATATACACATAATTCATTTATTTTATTGTAATAATAGTTGTTTGGAACAAGAATATTTGGATGTTCTCCTATTTGTTTTAAGTGAACTAAATCTTTTGTATGAATACAAAATTCCATAATTATAAACATTGAGTGAATTATATTAAGATCAGTCTGAGCTAATAAATAGTTAAATCTTTTGTTTGTATTTTAATTCAAACATGTTAATTCAAATTCAAAGTTAATTATAGAGGTCAATGGATATTGACATATCTATTTCAATGAATATAATTTAATCTTTAAAATTTGTACTGCATATTTATATTGTAGCTAATATTATTGCTTTTTTAGTTGAGTGGTATGAATGCTAAACCTCTAATCGATGTAGATAACTACTTTCTATTAGTTTCGATTTCTGTGATCTATTAAGGCATATATGTTCAGCTATAGTTATGCGCGGCGCAGTGGATCATGTGATGGGTGTCATAAAATTATTATCTTGAGTTCCTCCATGCTTCGGTAGTCACTTTAAGCCGTTGGTTCCAGCTGCATCTGCAGTTATCAACACCCACTAATCCGCAATGGGCCCGCAGTGGCTGTGGGGATATTAATAGATTGATTATAAAAAATTTTGGGCTCTGTTTTCTATCAGCTGTTTTCTATTTGTAAGGCAACATTTCCCAGCAATATTCTTGAGTGCTTGCAAACCAGATTTATTTAAGGCAAGAGTGAATAGGTTTCTTCTGGGCAAGCGCGTCCCACTGTAGACCTTATTCATGTCTTTGGGCTGGATTGAGGTTAAGAGTGAGCCTATTAAAAAAACACTTGACTAATTATAGAAATGTGTATCAATAGTAAACTATTTTACTTATATTTTTATGAATAAAGATAGTAGTAATAGTACTTGTAATTGGAAAGCAAGAATATATTTTGCTTTTTATAAAGCACTACGAAAAAGTATTATTGAATTAAAGGTACAGTTAACAGCATCTCAGGCTATACAAAACGGTAAAATTTTCCCGCTTCATTTTAAACCTTAATACGTTCTGGTTAGAGGTCAATATCCATTACCGAATTTGACATATTGTGGCAACATTACGTGCAGTCGTGTGTACTCATAATTTCGTAGGTATACTAGTATATCCAAATTGATAATAAGTTAGGTCTTTGCAATTTCGGCCTTCATGTCTTGAGAATTCAGCTTGTATGTAAACGTTTTGAATTTGTAGTGTGCGAGTTCTTGAGCCCTTACACCAGGTTGCCACTAATTTATCGATTTTCTACAATCGATTTTGAATTCAAATTTCAATATATTAAGGCTTTAAACCAGTTGAAGAATTTTGACTGCTTTGTATAATTTTACTTGTGTTGTTGATTGTGATTAGGAGTGAAGTTCGTATAGAAACACATTCAAGGTGACCTTAGTGACACAAGTGGTCGTTTTGGACGTAAACTTCGCTATTGTATGTCGAGTTAAAACCTTGTTTTGTGATTATTTTTTAATTGTTTGATATAAATACAGAAGGGAAATTAAGGTAACGGTGAAACAAAAAGAAAAAAAAAGGAATTATCACTATAATTGTTTTTTTTTAAATAATTTGAATACTTTTTGGACATTTACATAAACATTTAATAATTTACAATGATTATTTATACTGACATGACATGACACATCATATTCATGACTAACACTACTTATCTATTTCTATTCGCAACTTGAAATTAAATCGTAGGTGCTATGAAAATTTACCCTACAACTAAATTATTCAATGAGCCCTATCGCCTCACAAGCATCCGTTTAATACTAAGAGTGTATGCATGATTTATAGTTTACATAAATAATTTAATAGGAAATTTATACACAGATATCTAATGTACTCAAAATATAAAACGCAGTGAATGCAATTTTTTTTTCGTTAACTTAGTATCAAATCTACCATAAGTGACTAAAATAAGCATTCACAAAATGCACATTTGGAAAGAAATGTTTCGTATGGACAATAAGTTGGTCAGTCTGCCTAGAGAGTGACTTGAAACAAACTAAATAGTAAACATTTCAAGTTCTAATATTTGTTTCAATACCAGCCGCTCCCGTTTTTTTTTACAAAGATATGTTGTAATATTCTAAAGCAACATTATATCTATGACTCTAAATACTTACAACTATAGACCTCAAATGCAAATACTTTTTTTATAATTTACATGATATGAATACGTCATTAACCTCTGTTAATTTACTTAAATGTAGTAGAGTATTGAATACCTAATATGGAATAGGTATGTCATTTATACATAGGTCTGGAATTTTGATGATACATTGTTTCTATTGGTTTGTTGGATTGTTAAATTAGAACTGGCCATACCAGTTAGTGTTTCTAGTTTTATCGTTTCACATATTTTAAATATATAAAGTATCTCCTCGTGTTCTGAGTACTCTAAATTATATAATTCAGTTGGAATGTGGAGATAAAAATCATGCATATCGCCCTCCAGTTACAGTAACAATAGTTTTTTTTTATAAATTGAAATACATATGCTATATACGCTCGACTTTATGTTACAATTTATTTACATTAATAGATATAGATTTAAGATAATTAATTTTTGGGATAATTTAATAATATTTCATGTCATAGCACATTAGACTGCATCTAAAGATGAAGGTTAGCCGATTCCTAAACGTCGTCATCCAGTTACAGAAGACACAGCCTCTCGAATGTGCACTATCACAGAGTAATGACATAAACGTGGGGCTCGTCGAGTCCCCGATTGCCCCAGGCCCGTACTCGTGCATATAAGTTAATTACAATAATACTAGGCGTATGAAACACGCGGAATAACATTTCGTTACATAGCTCTACACTTTGCACATTATGCTACAACACTCGCTTCGTCGTAATTTATCAGTCCCTTAATTTCATTTATTCTACTAATATTTGTACAATATTAACATGACACTTTGATAAGTCATCGGCCCTCGCTGTTGGATTTTGTTGGAATGTTAGGGTTTTCAGACGGTGAGGCCTTCGGTGCGGGCGGGGGGAGGGAGGGACGCGAGGGGATGAGGGTGCGGGTGATGAGGGGCGGGGGAGGAGGGTTGGGTAGGGGGAGGGGCGAGGGGTGTATGCGCGGGCGGTGAGCGGTAATCGTTTTCCTCGCGTAACTGCCGACTTCTTTCGGCCAATTCCCGTCCACGTTCAGCCAATTCTCTCATTGCCGCTTGCCGTTCGTCGCCACCTTCTAACGATGGTGGCCTTTCTAATGGCGATGCGGCGCCGGGTCTTGCTCCGGCGAATGCACCGAAACCGAGTAAGCCGGGGAATTTGCCGACTCCATTTTGACCCGCGCTCTGTTGGATCACTGATATTTCGTTCAGCTGTTGGAAGAAACAAAAGAACAATTAAATTCTGTCACAAAATCAGTTGAGTTGTGAAACGTCTAGCAGAGTAGTCGGGAAAGTTCCAATATAGTGATATTTTGTCAGATTATTTACAAGGATATTCAATAGTATAATATATAAATAAGTACCTTTTGCTGCATGCCGTTGAGGAATGGCGCGGGCAGATATGGATAGAATAAATCAGGACGCCTTAGAAGATCGTGAGGCTCGTGCAATGGCCGCGGAGGCAATTCCAGCGACATGCGGCGACCTCGTCTAGAAGCGCCCCCACTCCACATGTGTGTTCCCATGTGCACCTGTCAAGCAAAAAAAGCATTTATTACATACTAGAAACAACAGAATGAACATCTTTATACTACTTTGTGGAACGCAATAAAATAAAAAAACAGATGTTAGCGTCAAAAAATTTATATTATACGAAACAGATATACAGTATTTAATATTTTAAATATACTGGTTTACTTGTGAAAGTAGATATATTAAAGCAAATACTAGATCGATTAACGCTAAAGAGTTCCGGATTACGGAAGCATGGTCAGCATAGTAGCACAGGTTTCCACAAAATATACTATCCATAAACGCAATGGAAATTGAATTTTAAGGTAAATATGAGGTAAAGGAGGCGAATGAAATGAATTTTCTTTACATATTATGCTCCATGTAAATTGAGCGAACGGTCATACGTACCTACATTCAATGACAAATCTTATTTAAATATTTATAAGGACTAACTGAAGCCTATGCTTCGAGGTATCCTTATTGTAATAAAGATTAGATTTTATTCGTTGGCTGACAGGTAATGATAGCATCATTTCATACAACAAATTCTGAAATTGCATTCTTTCGCCTTCCAGCACGTTCCATTCGAGATGATATAAGTTTTACTTGATAATTATTTTGGAATAATTTTGTATCTCTTGACTGTAGATTAGTAGAGGAGTGTTCAACATATTTCTAAACGTTATTTACCTTCAGATTCCCCTTTGTAGTGAAAGCTTTTTGGCAGACAGCACAACGAAACGGCTTGTCGCCAGTATGGGTTCGCATATGGATTTGTAGAGCAGACGATGACGAGAAGTTCTTGCGGCAAACTCCGCACAGATGTTTAGATGACGTCGGCGGCGGCGGATGGGTGGGGCCGCTGGGTACTGCAATAAGAAAGAGACATATATTAGGCGCCATCTATTTATTACGTAACACGGTTTTTGCCAGTTTTGAACACTCCCCCCTCTGCGTAAGAAACAATAAAACTGCCTATGCCCTTCCAAGAATGTACGGTATAGTTTTGTTGTCCCAATCCCAAGAATCTAAGGGTCAATGCATATTTGACGGATGAACGATGATACGTTGCGTTTTTTCGTTCACTGAACGTAAAAACTGACAAAATTTGATATGAAATCTAACCTTGTACTCTCGACATTTTGTTGATGTTGCCAGATTTTTTTGAGAATTTTTTGGCTGTTTGTTTTGCACTAAATGATAATTTTTATTTTGCACACCTGTTCACTCGCGCACAGTTAGTTTTGTTTTTTGAAGTCCCTATAACTTTGCGAGGTTTGTGATCTTACGTTAGAACTATCAAGAATCTTTCTAACTCCCGGGTAAGAAAAAATAAGACACTTCGTTTAGTGTTGCCATTACCAATTCAACAAAAAGAGTTGTAATTAAATCTTGAAATATGTTAAACTCGCTATCCTGTATGCAAATATGATGCAAATCGAGCTTTCAAAAGCTTGTATGTCCCTATAAGAATGAAGATTTCTTTAAAAGACATCATGTTTACATCATAAGTCGACTGATTGATATTTAACAGGGGAAAAGTATTGGGGGCATGCAAATGCAGAGGTGTAACGCGGTAGCCGCCTTCTACGTGCTTGTATAAGTTAATGGCTACACTTTTTTTTGCTGCAGTGAATGCTTCTCATACTAGATCACTATTATGCGAAGTGCGTAACGAACCGTTTCTTTAAAGAGGGGATTCTTAACATTTTATTCAGATTTACAAAGTTGTGGAGAGGGCTGTCTGTGTGTACATGGAATTTATAGACTATTATCTGCTACGTCGTCGTTAATGTTCCGTATATTGTAAAGAACTATAAATTCGATTTTTTTTATCACTGTTCAGAGAAGCGTATAATGGGCGTTAAATGATGAAATATACTCTGGAAAAGTGACCAGTAGGTTCAGATGAATGAATTAACTATTTTACAGTATCGTGATTCTTAATGATCGAATCTAATCATTTAACCTAAAAACCAATGATAAGATGTGGGTATCTGTTAAATCTGTAAATTAAGTCAAACACCTGTGAATCCCCCGGATTTTTGAGACTAAAACCTGAATATGCATTAACCACATATCAATTTAAACCGTAATACAAGAAAAACCCCGTACGAATGATTCCCGGACGTCCTTAACTAGGACAACCTGTCACTTTATGTTGATGCATAAATATCCCGAACGCCCTTTAAACTAGGACAAATAAAGGAAAACCCGGACAGATTGCAGCCCTAGCCAATGGTAGATATTTGTTAATTATAATACAAGAAACAATTAGGGATGCTCAGAGCAGATTATTTTACACATTACTTAAATAATATTTATCATTTAATTTTTTTTAGTGACTTTAAAAAGTATTAAATTATTTTTAAACAAATAGAAAGGAGATACGATTTATATTCCTCTAATGCGTACGTAAATATAAATTTGTGAGCTTCGTTTTTTCATCGTAATTGAGACCGTGGTCTTTTGAAATAACTGATTGTTATGCTTTTCATGTGTGTCTTGGAGTTGCTGTCTTAAATAAATCAGCATAATCGGCACGTCCTTACCGCTAGGTCGTTTCGGCATTGGCGGCATATCTATAGGAGGTGCGTGCGACATCGGTGGGAGCGCCGGCGGCGATCTCTTGAGGTCCATCTTGTCTGGCGATGACCGTCTGTCGGGGCTCGGCTCTCGGGGCTCGTCATTGGGAGTCGGGGGCGCTTTGTCGAAACCGGGGGGCATGTCGCGAATTTTGTGCGTCAACATGTGCTGCTTCATGTTGCCCTGTGGTAGATATAAGCTGTTAGTGATGCTATTATTACGCATTTCTTTTCAAGGTTTCATTTTTCTTGAAGGTCTAGAGATGGCGCTGTATTCAAATTCAATGATTTTTCTTTTATATCAACGGATGTGACTATATTCTTTTATAAATATTTGTTTTGCGCTTCTTACCTAATATTATTAATGATTTGTTGAAGAAAGTCGAATTAATTTTTAATTATATGTTAAATGCAGAGTTAAATAACTAAATACTGTCTTTAAATGAAATAAATGGACGGAACTTTAATATTATTGTTGGTTATCATTTTCAACAGACTTATTATGACGCGATATTGTAGTAAAACGAACGGCAGTGGTATTCTGTTAAAATTACATCGTCGAACACATCGCTGTCACAGCATTAGAGGTTCAATGAAGTAAAACCTTCTTCAAAAAGTAGTAAAGGTTATTTTATTGACCATCCGAAGCTATGTATGTGCTGTATTCGAGGTTGTATTTTTCCAGAACACCATAGAAAGGGGATTATACAAAAAAGTTCGTTCCATTACCTACTTACCTACGCTATATACGTTATCAATTTGAATAAAAAAAAAATTACATTATATGTTAATTGACAGTTTCTTTTCATTATACACTACCGATTACGGAACAATTTTATTAGTGTTTAAAGAGTTAGTGTTAAAGAGTTGTTTAATATAGTTAAAACGCTTTTGTATTGTAACGGGTTGTCGAAACAAATTCATATAATTTATATATTTATATTCAATCTGTTTAGATAAATGGCGCTCGTTCGTAACCTAAAATAACTAAAGGTGTTTTGAGAACTGCAGCTCGAGTAATAGTATTTTAAAGTACGACATATTTCATGCATTATGTATGAAAATATATTATTATTTTCCAGTTAAAACAAGCACAAAATTTAAGTTAAGTTGCCATAATATCAAGACTTCGTAGCATGCAAAGAGATAAACTAAAAACATAGTTAAACTAAGTAAATACATTCAGGCATCGCCCGTTCATACCGGATAGACGAAGGCGTTCCAGAAATCCAAAGCAGTGGCGTGCGGAGGGCGGGGTGGGCGCGCGCGCCTCCCGCAACGGCAACCGCCGCCACTGCTCTGGAACCACAAATACACGCACTGTTACACAACCATAGAGTTGCCATAAAAATATTAAAACCTATTCGAAATTGAAATTTTTTTTTTCATTTAAAAAAGTTCCAAAAATAGCAACGCTATGGCAGTGTAGAACGGTAAAACGCAAACATATCTGGAACCACAAATACACGCACTGTTACACAACCATAGAGTTGCTATAATAAAATCAAACTTATTCAAAATCTTCTACTTGTGGAAAAATGGCAACGCTATGGCAGTGTAGAGCAGTAGAACGCAAACATATCTGGAACCACAAATACACGCACCGTGACACAACTATAGAGTTGCCATAGAAAAATAAGTATTACAACAATATAATACTATACAAAGTTTTAAAACAGTTAAAAATGGCAACCCTGTAGCAGTGCTGAACCCAAACATACACAATGGGGGAGCCAATGAAAGGGGTTACAACAAAATACAAGCATGCAGAAAGAAAACCTTATTTCTATGTGAATAAAGTGTCTTTGATCTTATTAATAACCAGTTCTCTTTATAGATTGTCCACCCTAGCTTTTTGCATTACGATACATATTAGAATTGGAAATAAAATAAATTGTAAAGGTAGAGTTGTGTTCTTTCAGTTGAGGTAGCCTTATTTATGTTCTAAAATTTTAAATGAAGGATAATCTAAATCTTCCTTATTCTCATAAACGGATTCAGGTATTGTTTATAATTATTTCGGTCGAGATGGTGGTGGAAATGTCAAGTCATGTCAGTGGCACTTGAGTATGTCTTGTAAATAACACTTAAATTTTATAAGTATTAGATTTTTTAGTTATGCGTAGTTAATCTGCTTTAAAATTTCTATAGATTTCTAGATAGCTTCAGACGACTTCTAACGATTCTGTATACATTGTACATTTCATTTATTCCATAGAACAATATTTATTGTATCGGAAATTATAATATACGTTTAATAATACTCAACGGCAACAAAACATACAACAATTAGATCAAATTAGCGTAAAATACCACATGCAAAATTACAAAATTATAAATTTCAAGGTTGCTTAACTTATGTCAACATAATTATGGTAAACAATAAGTTATTTATTTTTGTCATTCAAGTACTCGTCGATTGAATAGTAGCACTTCTCCAATAAAAATGTTTTAAGTTTATTTATAAAAATAAACCTGTTGCTCCGTTTAGACGTAAATGAAATACAAACACACTTTCACATTTATTATATTCAATATGCAAGTATGGATACTATTTATTTTGAAATTAATACGTCTATTTGAAAAAGTAGTAAGTATGTTTTAGTTACGTGAAACGCGAGTTTCTGAACAACTTTCACATACGCAATTATACATTATAAGTAATTGAAACTTGGAAGGAATATTAATCTAAACACAAATTGTCTAGCTATGAACTTTATGGCTTTGAAGTTTGGCATTTACATTCCTTATAGAGATTAGGTAAGTTTCCATTAAGATGGCTGAAAATTGCACGAGTAATAGCGTTTGAAACCCACTGGGTCGTCAACAAAAAATATTAGATAATAATGCTTTGGTATGTTTTATATATATATCTAGTCTCGGATTCCAATAATATAAACTTTTTCTTATTGACTATTGTGGTACATGGAAAAAACATTATAGGTCATTAAAGTGAGTTTGAATGGAGTAAAATTAAAAAAAAAAAATTATGCTCCTATCATAGAATTGAAGGCTCTTATGTTAATATCAAAATCGAAACTAAACTAATAATATTATAAAGAGAAAAGTTTTGATTGTTTGCATTAAATAGGCTCCGAAAGTCGTAACTACTGAATCGATTTTAAAATTCTTCCACTTACGGGTATCTACATAATCGCGGGGAAACAGCTAGTATTATATACAATATAGTATAAAGTTTAAGTCACATTTTATAAATACTATTCAAGCAAAAAAATATTTTAATCTATGTAGCAATCACCCAGTAAAGTTATTATAAATAGAGTTACAATGTTTTTCTTTGCAGGTGTCTATTTATTCACAAATAAAATGAAGTAAAAGTTCTTTATTTAATATCATCTTATTAATTATATTAGTTTATAACTGTTGAGTTTTAAAAGCTTCCGGTTAGTCGAAATATTTATTCCAACGACTAATTAATTACTTTTAACACTTTCCAGCTTTAAATAAATGAATAAATATCTTTATGTTTTATTTCAATAGCAGCGATGTCAGATTTGGCTTTACAAGAGGGCGCTAGTTTGGTTGAGGTCAAATTTTTGTGCCATTTAGAAAGAAAGTTACAATATAATACAATATAGTACAACGTGTTTTGTCTTTAATGATAATGGTGAAAATAATGATTTATTGATCGGACCCTCAAACAATTAAAAATATGAATTGAGAAATACCTAGATAGATTTCATAGAAAGGTAAAAATTTTTGTACTTTAGATGCCAGCTCATTTATCAATTTCTCTCAGTATCTACAGCTCATTAACTAATCCAATTATTTTAACAAAGAAAACAAGAATTCATTAAAACGTGGTCTTCTAACATAAACATGTTGCATTTCGAATTACTATACATTGGAAAATTTAATAGGTAATTTGAACGAATCGTTGATGTCTTTATTTTTAAAAAATCAGAAGCAAACTTATTAATAAAATGCCATAATATTTGTTTTTAATTAGGCGCCGATATTGTTTATTTGAATTTAAAATTTTTATCAAGTTTAGTGACCTTCCGATGACCATTTATCATGTTCTAAACTTGTTTGAGCTCCGTTAAGGCTGTACTTAGTTCCTATGATACTCTGCGAGTATCGGCGTATTTTCAACTTTCATTGTGAATTTATAGTGCACTATTATTAGTGGCTACCTCACAAAATCAGTAATGGATACCGATGATGTTAGTTACTCCGTTTAAAGATTTTAGTTTTACAACATGACACGGTGGTGGGATGTCAAAAAATGAATTGTTTTCTAAACGTTTTTTGTAAACATTAAAAAGAGAAGACAGTAAAGTGACAATATTATTATTGTTATAACCATCAGAAAGGTAGGTAAGTGCCTACTTATAAAACATTTCACCAATATTTAAAAACGGCATGCATTAACTTTTGTACATATAATATTTGAACATTGGTAATATTTAGTCGAGTAATTTCGGTTCAATATAAAAATTTCCAAAGCGTTTGTTTTGGTTTTGTTATTTCAATGATGAAAAAATATCGGTTTTTGTAATTTTTAATTCTAAGTTAGGTACGCTCCCTAGTAATTTTTTTATTGCCATTATAATTGGTAAATAATTAATTAAAACTAATTATTGTTTGTTTTTTGTTAGTTTATTTAACCGCCGCCGCGCCGTCTTATACTTTCTGCTATACAACTCTCCGGTTGATATGTAGAAAATGCATAATGGCATTAAGTCCGGAATTAGTACAAATTGTGGGATGGAGATTAAATAAATACATTTATAAAAATCTTTAATAATTTTGTGGTAGTATATATAATTCGTCCCATGCTTCATTACATCTAAATAGTATGATGTATATTGATTTTGATTTTATTTACATGTTTATCCGAACGATTATTCGGAAAGAGTTTTTATTTCAATAATATAGAATTTCTCTCGTATGCACCGAGTACCGAGCTAATATATTACTCGGCACATAGTTTAATACAAGATCTGAATAATCGATAAAATTGTTTGGCGCGTGAACTTTCGTCTGTACGGGTGTCGACGACACTTATTGTAATTTTAAATGTGTTTAGTATTGCACGGATAAGGCCTTATAGTTATTCCGTTTTGTATTGCCGTATAATACACAGTTGCCAACTATTGCGTTGTTATTGAAAATTTCACTTCCGAGCTGTTTTGTTGTGTTAAAATAACTATGAGGGCG